TGGACACTGGGAGGAGGTAACTATGGGGAGGAAGTGGGAGGGGAGCTGCTGCATTGTAAATTTTGGTCAATGACATGAGACAAAGTATATGTGAACTGCCGTATGAAAAGTGAATTTACTCTGTAAATCTTCACCCAAATCCTAATAAAATAAATAAAAAATAAATAAACAAACAAACAAAAAAGATATATACAGAGCACTACACCCAATAAAAGCACAATACACATTTTTCTCCAGAGCACAAGGATCAATCTCTAGAGTAGACTATATGGTAGGCTACAAAATAAGCCTCAATAAACTTAAAAAAACTGAAATACTATAAAGCATCTTCTCAGATCACAATGTTATAAAATTAGAAATCAATAATAAGAAGACCAAGGGAAAAAAAAATCAAATATATGGAAAATGAATAAAACAAAGATCAAGAACTACTGGATACCAGAACAAAAGAAGTATAAAATAAAATTTTAAAAATCCTAGAAACAAATGAGAATGAAAATATACCTTAACCAAAACCTTTTTAACACAGCAAAAGGAGTACTCACAGGTCAATTTATAGCAATAAATGCACACATCAAAAAAGAAGAAAGAATCAAAATCAACACCTTAACTCAACAACTCCAATGGTTAGGGAAAGAGCAACAAAAGAAACCTACAACCTAAAGAAGAAAGGAAATAAAAAAGATCAAAGCAGAAATAAATGAAGCAGAAAACAAAAGAACAAACAAACAAACAAAAAACAGAATCAACAAGAAGCTAGTTCTTCAAAAGGATTAATGAAATCGACAAACCCCTAGCAAGTTTAATAAAGGAAAAGAAAAGATGTAAAAAACTTGAATAATAAATGAAATGGGTGACATCATAACAGAACCAACTGAAATAAACAATAAACAGATAATAATTGTACTCCAACAAATTCAAAAACCTAGAAGAGATGGACAAATCTCTAGAAACACAAGACTTACCTACACTTACACAGTCTGAGACAGAATATTTGAACAAGCCCATAACAAGGCAACAAACTGGGCAAGTCATTTAAAAAAACTCCCCTCAAAAAAAAAAAAAGTCCAGGTCTAAACGGCTTCACTGGAGAATTCCATCTAATGTTCAGAGACGACCTGACACCTATACTACTCAAACTATTCCAGAACATAAAAAAGGATGAAATCCTCCCAAATTCATTTTATAAAGCAAGCGTGACCTTGATACCAAAAGTAGGCAAAGACATCACTCAAAAGGAAAACTACAGACCAATATCCCTCATGGATATAGATGCAAAAATCCTCAACAAAATCCAAGCCAATAGACTCCAACAACATATCAAGAAAATCATTCATTATGAGCAAGTGGGGTTCATATCAGGCATGGAAAGATGGTTCAACATTAGGAAAACAGTCAACATCATCCACCACATAAATTAAAAAAAAAAAAAAAAAAAGGAGAAGAACTACATGATCATATCAATTGATGCAGAAAAGGCATTTGATAAAATCCAGCAGCCATTCCTGATCAAAAACTCTCAGGAAAATAGAAGGGACATACCTCAACATAATAAGGGGCATATATGAAGGAAGATGGGGCAATCTACTTCCGTAGTGATACTGCCTTGGAAACCCAAGAAGGCGTCGCTATGAGTCGGGTCCGACTCGACGGCACATAACAACAACAACAACAACAACATGCAAAATCAACGGCCAACATTATTCTCAATAGAGAGAGATTGAAACCATTCACTTTGAGAACAGGAACCAGACAAGGATGCCCTCTAGCACCACTTCTATTCAACACTGTATTCAAAGTCCTAGCCAGAGCAATAAGCCAAGAAAGGGAAATCAAAGGCATCCAAATTGGTAAGGAAGAAGTAAAATTATCCCTATTTGCTCATGATACGACACTATACACAGAAAACTCGAGACTCAGCAAGAAAACTACTGAAACTAATTGAGAGATTTAGCATAGTGGCAAGATACAAGATCAACATCCAAAAATCAGCTGGATTCCTCTACAGCAGCAAAGAAATGCTGAAAAAGAAATAAGGAAATCAGTACCATTTACAATTGTTTTTGTTGTTATGTGCTGTCGGTAGCTACCAAAAAAATAATAATAATTAAAAAATACTTGGGAATGTATCTTACTAGGGACAGAAAAGACCTGCACAAAGAAAACTATAAAAAACTACTTCAAGAAACTGTAAGAGATCTACATAAATGGAAGAACACACCATGCTCATGGATAGAAAGACTGAACACTGTGAAAATGTCAATACTACCCAAAACAATCTATACATTCAATGCAATCCCAATCCAGATCCCATCAACATTCTTTAAGAATATGGAAAAACCAATCATTAATTTCATATGCAAAGAGAGATCTCAGACAAGCAAAGCACTATTGAAGAAGAACAAAGGATGGCTCACATTCCTGGATCTAAAAACCTACTATACAGCCACAATAGTCAAAACAGCCTTGTTTTCGTACAATGGACACATGGACTAGTGGAAGAGAATTGAGAACCCAGAAACAGAACCATCAACCTATGATCAGCTGATTTTTGACAAAGGGGTGAAATGCATTACATGGGGAAGAGATGGTCTCTTTAACAAATTGTGCTGGCAAAACTTGATATCCATCTGAAGAAAAATTAAACAAGATCCATAGCTCACACCATACACAAAAACTAACTCCAGAAGGATCAAACACTTACATGTGAAACCTAATACTATAAAGTTCCTCAAAGAGAAAATAGGGGCAAATTTAGGGGCCCTCATTTATGGCATAAACTATCAAGCATAACCCAAAATGCACAAACAGCAAAAGATAAACTAGATGAATGGGACATTATAAAAATTAAAATTTTATGTGCTTCAAAAGACTTCTCCAAAAGAGGAAAAAGGGAACTTACAGATTGGGGAAAAATATTCAGCAACAACATATCTGACAAGGGACTTATCTCTAAAATTTACAGAATACTCCAACACCTCAACAACAAAAAGACAGACAATCCAATTTAAAAATGAGCAGAAGACATGAATAGACACTTCCCCAAACAGGATATTCAGGCAGCCAAAAAACACATGAAGAGATTCTCATGATCATCAGCCATTAGAGAGATGCAAATCAAAACAACGAGATACCATCTTTCCCCAGCACTAATAGCAAAGTTCAATAAGACAGAAAATAAAAAATGCTGGTGAGGATGTGGAGAGATTGGGACTCTCATACACTGCTGGTGGGACTGTCAAATGATACAATCACTGCAGAAAGCAGTATGGCAGTTCTTTAAAAAGCTGGAATTAGAAATATTTGATCCAGCAATTCCATTACTAGGTACATACCCTAAAGAAGTGAGAGCCAAGACAAAAACAGATATATGCATATCCATGTTCATTACAGCACTATTTACAATAGCAAAAAGATGGAAACAACCTACATACCCATCAACAGAAGAATGGCTAACCAAACTATGGTACATACACACAACGGAATACTATGCAACACTAACGAATAATGTAGCATCTGCAAAACAATGCATAATATGGATGAACTTAGAGGACACTATGTTGAGTGAAATAAGTCAATCACAGAAAGACAAATATTGTATCAGTTCATTATTGTAAGAAGTCTTGGTTTACATATGGAAGGAAATGTTCTTTGTTGTTTACCAGAAAGTGGGAGGGGAGGAGAGGAAACACTGCAAAAAATTCAAAATTAAATAAATAAAAAGTAAAAGGCAGATAAAATCAGAAGAGGAAAAAAAGAGAGAAAGAAATACAGCCAGAATACTCCTTAGAAGCAAGAATGGCCAGATTTTGTCTCACATACTTTGATCATGTTGTCAGAAGGGACCAGTCCCTGGAGAAGGATATCATGCTTGGTAATGCAGAGGGACAGCAAAAAAAGGGCCAGACCCTCAATGAGATGGACTGACACAGTGGCAAGGATGCCGAGGATGATGCACTGTTTCATTCTGTTGTACACAGGTCTCTATGAGTTGGAGCCAATTTGACAGCATCTAATAACAACAAGTGGGATGTCAGGACAAAGAGGGGCAGCTTCAGGGGCACCAGCAAGTGGGCACCAACACACACAGATCTAATACAAAGCAGTGCCTCACACTGGCCAAGCTCTCACAACCTGGCCTTTAGGTTAGCCTGTGGTATCACTGTTCTGCTCTATTCTTGATAGGCCAAGTATGTACTCATGTAGGAGCTCAACCATCATTTGGGATCATCTATGAGAAAATGCATTTTAAGTGACAGTCAACCCACAGTGAACACTTCAGACACAAATGAAAAGGGAATTATTCTACAATGTTTATTTAAAACAAGGGACACTTCAAATTCATTTTTTACCTGCATGTCAAAGAAAACACATGAGCTATGTAGTCCTCTATGTCTGTTTGCCCTTCTGAAATCCCAGTTCAAAAGGGATGATCCAAAGTTCTTCCCATGAACAGTAGTTACAGCTGCTCTGTTAAACTCTTCCCTGGTGACACTTCTAAAGCTCAATGTTCTAAAACTCCCAATGTTATTTTTGTCCTAAGGGGTCCAACTGAAGACTCTGAACATGTTGATGAGCTGAAAGATGAAGGTAATTGTTTCTCCCGATACAGAAGCAAGAAATCAAGCTGGCATGAAATCCAATCCAGGAGCCCAATCTATCCTCCAAGTTCAAAACTGTCTGCAGGTTCTCCCTTCTCCAATCCATGAAAACATACCAGAGATACAAAAGAAGCAATGCCTGTGGATGATTCCAAAAGCTAAGGATTTTTCATCAGACTTAGAGAAAGAAATGGGCTCAAGGAGTCTGGCTATTGAAAAGGCTTCTTCCCCAAGTGGGATCTTTGATGTTTATCAAGGCTTGAGCTCCAGCTGAAACTTTTCCCACAGCAGGAACACTTATAAGGTTTCTCTCCAGTGTGGACCCTCTGATGTCTATTAAAGTTTGACCTCTGAATGAAACTTTTGTCACAGATGGGACATTTATAGGGTTTCTCTCCTGTGTGGATTTTCTCATGGTGGCGCAAACCAGAGAAGTCACTGAAGCCTTTCCCACAGTAATCACATTTGCAAGGCTTCTCTCCTGTGTGGATTCTCTGATGCTTCACAAAGTCTGAACTCCGCAAAAAGGCTTTCTTGCAGGTGGGGCACTGAAAGTACGTCTCTCCAGTATGAGTTCTCTGGTGAAACACAAGCTGAGAATTCCTGTAAAAGGTTTTCCCACACTCCCTGCAGGTAGGGAGCTTCTGGGCCATGGGGGGTCTCAGCTGGCCTTTCTGAGGGGACTCTCGCTTCTCTTCAAGCCACAGCATGGACAGGTCTCCTGGGTGAGGGTTAGGCAAATGTTGGCCTAACTGTTTTCCAGAACTTCTTTCCTGAGGAGAGAGTTGATCCCCTTTCCCCTCACCTTGGAGATTTCCTTGCACATCGGGGAGATGCTCTCCTTCTCCAAAGCATCTTGTGTCGTCTTCACTGAAGAAGCCACTCAAGGAAGCCTGAGGAGGTGCTTCTCCTGAGATGTGACAGGGGGCATCGAGAGGTTCCTGTTCCCTATAATTTTCCAAGTTTAGGTTCTCTTTGTCATTCTCCTGTCTATCTCCTGAAAGAAGAAATAAAATATGAAACAGTTCTAAATTTTATGCCTTCTTTTCCAACTCAAATGCCAAAGAAAGAAGCATCATAAGATGTCAATTATTTCTACCAAGAGGGGCATCAGTGAGTAAGGGCAAAAAAAACCAGCATCTAGCCTGATGCCCTGGCACTACACTTTGCTTGCTCTGTGTTCAAGGATAAGTGGTTCAGCTCTGGAGCTAAGGACAATGTCTGAATAGCAAAGTAGGATTCATAGGGGACTTTTTTCTCTGATAGCATAGTGCCTAAGGCACTTGACTGCTAACCAGAAGTCTGGCGGTTCAAACCCACTAGCCACTCCTTGCAAGGAAGTTTGGGCAATCTTACTTCTGTAGTGATACTACCTCAGAAACCCAAGGAGGGGTCGCTATGAGTCAGGTCTGACTCAAGGGCACATAACAACAACATAAATTAGGAGCATAAATTTCTTAAAGCTCAAAAAAAGAAAAGTATATTATGAGAGTACTATTTTTGAAAAATGATTGACTCTTACTTGGTTATATGTAAAAGAAAAATATCACTAAACAATTTTTGAAAAGGCAGAAAAACATATAGAAGAAAACCATAAACAACCTCAATCACACTATCCAGAGATAACAACAATTAGTAAACATTCACTTTTAGTCTGTCTTTAACCTATATGTACATGGTCTTTTCCCACACCAACTAATATCATATTGTATATCAGACTTTATATTGTTATAGTAAAATGGTGTTATTCATCAATTTTACATAGATTCTCCCATTCACAAGCAATGCAAATTCATGAAGTGCAGTAATTTGTCATTTTACTAGTTTTACTGCAGTAAGCCTATAGTACAAAAGTGAGTCCCTTGGTCTCTGCTTGAATCCAGAATCCACATGTTCTCTATTAACTCCCAGAAACAGTTAAAATTTTGTTTTTTGTCATTATAACTCAGGTTTCTGGTTAACAACACTACACAGTAACATGTACTTTAGATTTTTGTTTTGGTAATGGAACTCATTTTCATACTTTTATGTATTAGTTTAATGCTGCACTCCTAAAGAAGCTGTTTACATTTTCATTTCGTGTATCAGTGTCTTTCAAGGCCAAAATTACTTGCTCAAGAACTGGGCCTGCACATGCTAGTCCACAAATTCCCCTCAAATGGCAAAGGCACTTTCTCTTGCGTTAAAAGGGTCTTTATAAGCATTATTTTTAAGGATTGAAAAATGGCCCATAGAAATGTACTACACATAACTTGTTTATGAATTCTCCTACTGTAGAAAACTGCTTTTTATTGTTTTTGCTATTATAAATAATGTAGTATAAGCAATTGTTCCTCATAAGTTTTTGTTCACATTTCTGATCAATACCATAAGAAAGGTTCCTTTAAGTGGAATTAGTTTATTAGTATGCATGGATGTTAAGGTTCTTGATACCACTTACCAGATGCCACTGAGTCTACTCTTAATCTATGGTGCTCCATGTATGTCACAGTAAAACTGTGCTCCATAGGTTTTCAATGTTTGATATTTTCAGAAGTAGATCTCTAGGTCTTTCTTCTGAGGTACCTATGAGTGGATTCAAACCTCCAACCTCTCAGTTAGCAGCTCAGTCCATTAACAGTTTCCACCACCCAAGGACTAAAGCTCTTGATACCTACTGCCAAACTGATTTACAGAATAACCATGCCATCTTCTGCTGTAAGTGATCAACACTTAAGTATTAAGTGTTTTTAAATATCTGAAATTTAGATTGGTAAAAAAAGGTTTTGTTTTAAGTGTTAACTCCTTAGTTATTAAAGTATAAAAACTATTGTTCACATTTATGACTTACTTTTCACGCCAAGACTTCAT